ATCTGGAGCAGTTACCCACGGCAACCAATCAGATCAGTTTGTTCAGTTAAGGTTTGAAAATGAAATCTAGAAGCTGATTGGTTGCCGGGCGCGGCTACTCCAGAATCAATTGTAAAACTGTGTGGTCATACCTAGAGGCAAGCTCTCCATGTCCACCTCCGGGTCAGAGTCGGCTATGACCTCTTCCTTTGGCTCTTCATCAGACTCCACGTATTTTGTCACAATGCTGGGCTTCCTACAAGTAAGATAAACCAGAATCATCAGCTATGGAAGGGGGGCAATTGTCATGGCGACACGTGGTATAGAGGAGGCGGGCTGCATCCGTATACAGATGGGTAGAATTACCTTTTAGAGCGAGGAGTTCCGGGGGGCCAGAGAATACCGGCACAAGACACAACGTATACACAGAGAATACCGGCACAAGACACAACGTATACACAGAGATTCCCGGCACAAGACACAACGTATACACAGAGAATACCGGCACAAGACACAACGTATACACAGAGATTCCCGGCACAAGACACAACGTATACACAGATTCCCGGCACAAGACACAACGTATACACAGATTCCCGGCACAAGACACAACGTATACACAGAGAATACCGGCACAAGACACAACGTATACACAGAGATTCCCGGCACAAGACACAACGTATACACAGAGAATACCGGCACAAGAAGAAGGTGATCTGTAGATCCAGATATAGGACGGAACATTTACAAAACAACCCATTTCATGTCCTAGCCTCCCTACAGGTCACTCAGTGATACCATTACATCAAAGGGCTAAACTCCATGTGGCTCCACCGCTTACTACCCCCCTCAGGCTGCCATCATTGATCAATCCCCTGCAATCTGCACCCCTCTCTGCTGCGGGAGCACCCAGGATTCCCCCGCAACCTGCACCCCTCTCTGCTGTGGGTGCCCCCAGGATTCCCCCCGCAATCTGCACCCCTCTGTGCTGCGGGAGCCCCCAGGATTCACCCCGCAACCTACACCCCTCTCTGCTGCGGGAGCCCCCAGGATTCCCCCCGCAACCTGCACCCCTCTGTGCTGCGGGAGCCCCCAGGATTCCCCCCGCAATCTGCACCCCTCTGTGCTGCGGGAGCCCCCAGGATTCCCCCCGCAATCTGCACCCCTCTGTGCTGCGGGAGCCCCCAGGATTCCCCCCGCAATCTGCACCCCTCTGTGCTGCGGGAGCCCCCAGGATTCCCCCCGCAATCTGCACCCCTCTGTGCTGCGGGAGCCCCCAGGATTCCCCCCGCAATCTGCACCCCTCTGTGCTGCGGGAGCCCCCAGGATTCCCCCCGCAATCTGCACCCCTCTGTGCTGCGGGAGCCCCCAGGATTCCCCCCGCAATCTGCACCCCTCTGTGCTGCGGGAGCCCCCAGGATTCCCCCCGCAATCTGCACCCCTCTGTGCTGCGGGAGCCCCCAGGATTCCCCCCGCAATCTGCACCCCTCTGTGCTGCGGGAGCCCCCAGGATTCCCCCCGCAATCTGCACCCCTCTGTGCTGCGGGAGCCCCCAGGATTCCCCCCGCAATCTGCACCCCTCTGTGCTGCGGGAGCCCCCAGGATTCCCCCCGCAATCTGCACCCCTCTGTGCTGCGGGAGCCCCCAGGATTCCCCCCGCAATCTGCACCCCTCTGTGCTGCGGGAGCCCCCAGGATTCCCCCCGCAATCTGCACCCCTCTGTGCTGCGGGAGCCCCCAGGATTCCCCCCGCAATCTGCACCCCTCTGTGCTGCGGGAGCCCCCAGGATTCCCCCCGCAATCTGCACCCCTCTGTGCTGCGGGAGCCCCCAGGATTCCCCCCGCAATCTGCACCCCTCTGTGCTGCGGGAGCCCCCAGGATTCCCCCCGCAATCTGCACCCCTCTGTGCTGCGGGAGCCCCCAGGATTCCCCCCGCAATCTGCACCCCTCTGTGCTGCGGGAGCCCCCAGGATTCCCCCCGCAATCTGCACCCCTCTGTGCTGCGGGAGCCCCCAGGATTCCCCCCGCAATCTGCACCCCTCTGTGCTGCGGGAGCCCCCAGGATTCCCCCCGCAATCTGCACCCCTCTGTGCTGCGGGAGCCCCCAGGATTCCCCCCGCAATCTGCACCCCTCTGTGCTGCGGGAGCCCCCAGGATTCCCCCCGCAATCTGCACCCCTCTGTGCTGCGGGAGCCCCCAGGATTCCCCCCGCAATCTGCACCCCTCTGTGCTGCGGGAGCCCCCAGGATTCCCCCCGCAATCTGCACCCCTCTGTGCTGCGGGAGCCCCCAGGATTCCCCCCGCAATCTGCACCCCTCTGTGCTGCGGGAGCCCCCAGGATTCCCCCCGCAACCTGCACCCCTCTGTGCTGCGGGTGCCCCCAGGGAGTCCCCCGTAATCTGCATATCGCAGATAAGAATTTTCCAATCACAGCAGAAGAAGAAGAAGAAGAAGAAGGAGGGAGGAGAAGGAGGAGAAGAAGGAGAAGGATGAGGATGAGGATAATGAGGATGAGGAGGAGGATAATGAGGATGAGGAGGAGGATAATGAGGATGAGGAGGAGGATAATGAGGGTGAGGAGGAGGATGAGGATGAGGAGGAGGATAATGAGGGTGAGGATAATGAGGAGGAGGATAATGAGGAGGAGGATAATGAGGAGGAGGATGAGGAGGAGGAGGATGAGGAGGAGGAGGAGGATAATGAGGATGAGGATAATGAGGATGAGGAGGATAATGAGGATGAGGAGGATGAGGAGGATGAGGAGGAGAGCGCGTACCTCTTCCGTGTTGGTCTCCATTGCATGCAGTCTATGTGCGGATTTGGGTTTGGCGGCGCTCTTGGCCACGGATTGTCTGGTCGGTGAAGTCGTGTCCTCAGATTCCTCCGAGGAATGAGCTAAATATTCGTGAAGTTTCTGCACCAACGTATTCAACTTGCTTTCACTTGTGGAGAAAGAGACACAGATAAGACAATAGAAGATTCACCCGACAATACCAAGGACAGACCCCCCCCTCCCCATTACATATCTGATATAACCAGTATATATGTATACAACACAGGGTCAGAGGTCATACGTTGTACCCTATACACAGTCTATATGTATACAACACAGGGTCAGAGGTCATACGTTGTACCCTATACTCAGTATATATGTATACAAGACAGGGTCAGAGGTCGCACCCTATACACAGTCTATATGTATACAACACAGGGTCAGAGGTCATACGATGTACCCTATACTCAGTATATATGTATACAAGACAGGGTCAGAGGTCGCACCCTATACACAGTCTATATGTATACAACACAGGGTCAGAGGTCATACGATGTACCCTATACTCAGTATATATGTATACAAGACAGGGTCAGAGGTCAAGGAGGATAATGAGGATGAGGAGGAGGATAATGAGGGTGAGGAGGAGGATGAGGATGAGGAGGAGGATAATGAGGGTGAGGATAATGAGGAGGAGGATAATGAGGAGGAGGATAATGAGGAGGAGGATGAGGAGGAGGAGGATAATGAGGAGGAGGATAATGAGGAGGAGGATGAGGAGGAGGAGGATGAGGAGGAGGAGGAGGATAATGAGGATGAGGATAATGAGGATGAGGAGGATAATGAGGATGAGGAGGATGAGGAGGATGAGGAGGAGAGCGCGTACCTCTTCCGTGTTGGTCTCCATTGCATGCAGTCTATGTGCGGATTTGGGTTTGGCGGCGCTCTTGGCCACGGATTGTCTGGTCGGTGAAGTCGTGTCCTCAGATTCCTCCGAGGAATGAGCTAAATATTCGTGAAGTTTCTGCACCAACGTATTCAACTTGCTTTCACTTGTGGAGAAAGAGACACAGATAAGACAATAGAAGATTCACCCGACAATACCAAGGACAGACCCCCCCCTCCCCATTACATATCTGATATAACCAGTATATATGTATACAACACAGGGTCAGAGGTCATACGTTGTACCCTATACACAGTCTATATGTATACAACACAGGGTCAGAGGTCATACGTTGTACCCTATACTCAGTATATATGTATACAAGACAGGGTCAGAGGTCGCACGCTATACTCCGTCTATATGTATACAAGACAGGGTCAGAGGTCATACGTAGACAGTATATGGGCCCCCCACCGCACGTCTATTAACAGGCCGCTATTTTCACACTACATTCTCCGACACCTCTCCCCCCACCATCCTCCGACACCTCTCCCCTCACCATCCACACTACATTCTCTGACACCTCTCCCCCCACCATCCTCCGACACCTCTCCCCTCACCATCCACACTACATTCTCTGACACCTCTCCCCCCACCATCCTCCGACACCTCTCCCCTCACCATCCACACTACATTCTCTGACACCTCTCCCCCCACCATCCTCCGACACCTCTCCCCTCACCATCCACACTACATTCTCTGACACCTCTCCCCCCACCATCCTCCGACACCTCTCCCCTCACCATCCACACTACATTCTCTGACACCTCTCCCCCCACCATCCTCCGACACCTCTCCCCTCACCATCCACACTACATTCTCTGACACCTCTCCCCCCACCATCCTCCGACACCTCTCCCCTCACCATCCACACTACATTCTCTGACACCTCTCCCCCCACCATCCTCCGACACCTCTCCCCTCACCATCCACACTACATTCTCTGACACCTCTCCCCCCACCATCCTCCGACACCTCTCCCCTCACCATCCACACTACATTCTCTGACACCTCTCCCCCCACCATCCTCCGACACCTCTCCCCTCACCATCCACACTACATTCTCTGACACCTCTCCCCCCACCATCCTCCGACACCTCTCCCCTCACCATCCACACTACATTCTCTGACACCTCTCCCCCCACCATCCTCCGACACCTCTCCCCTCACCATCCACACTACATTCTCTGACACCTCTCCCCCCACCATCCTCCGACACCTCTCCCCTCACCATCCACACTACATTCTCTGACACCTCTCCCCCCACCATCCTCCGACACCTCTCCCCTCACCATCCACACTACATTCTCTGACACCTCTCCCCCCACCATCCTCCGACACCTCTCCCCTCACCATCCACACTACATTCTCTGACACCTCTCCCCCCACCATCCTCCGACACCTCTCCCCTCACCATCCACACTACATTCTCTGACACCTCTCCCCCCACCATCCTCCGACACCTCTCCCCTCACCATCCACACTACATTCTCTGACACCTCTCCCCCCACCATCCTCCGACACCTCTCCCCTCACCATCCACACTACATTCTCTGACACCTCTCCCCCCACCATCCTCCGACACCTCTCCCCTCACCATCCACACTACATTCTCTGACACCTCTCCCCCCACCATCCTCCGACACCTCTCCCCTCACCATCCACACTACATTCTCTGACACCTCTCCCCCCACCATCCTCCGACACCTCTCCCCTCACCATCCACACTACATTCTCTGACACCTCTCCCCCCACCATCCTCCGACACCTCTCCCCTCACCATCCACACTACATTCTCTGACACCTCTCCCCCCACCATCCTCCGACACCTCTCCCCTCACCATCCACACTACATTCTCTGACACCTCTCCCCCCACCATCCTCCGACACCTCTCCCCTCACCATCCACACTACATTCTCTGACACCTCTCCCCCCACCATCCTCCGACACCTCTCCCCTCACCATCCACACTACATTCTCTGACACCTCTCCCCCCACCATCCTCCGACACCTCTCCCCTCACCATCCACACTACATTCTCTGACACCTCTCCCCCCACCATCCTCCGACACCTCTCCCCTCACCATCCACACTACATTCTCTGACACCTCTCCCCCCACCATCCTCCGACACCTCTCCCCTCACCATCCACACTACATTCTCTGACACCTCTCCCCCCACCATCCTCCGACACCTCTCCCCTCACCATCCACACTACATTCTCTGACACCTCTCCCCCCACCATCCTCCGACACCTCTCCCCTCACCATCCACACTACATTCTCTGACACCTCTCCCCCCACCATCCTCCGACACCTCTCCCCTCACCATCCACACTACATTCTCTGACACCTCTCCCCCCACCATCCTCCGACACCTCTCCCCTCACCATCCACACTACATTCTCCGACACCTCTCCCCCCACCATCTGCACTACATTCTTCGACACCTATCCCCTCACCATCCTCCGACACCTCTCCCCTCACCATCCACACTACA